AGGACATGTCATACTCAAAGTCAATAAAGATCACTCTAAAAATTTCTTTCACTGCTTGTTCAAACTATTGTCTGTATTTAAAATAAGCTAAATCAACACCATTCTTCAATTTTTTTTGGAGACAATTAAATTTTTTATGTTAAATCCACTTAAATATGTAAAAGCTTTTAAGTTAACTTAATTGATTTGTGTTGGAACAACATGAAGGGAATTGTGAGGAACCCAGCATTTTATACAGTGCTGTCTAGACTGTTCATTTCTGGCAATTTCAAAATAGAAACAAACAATGTATCAATACTATCATACTATCAAATACTATCAAATACTATCAATACACTGAAAAAAAATGGGTTAGCTGTTTGTTCAAACTACTTATTTAAAATGAGCTAAACCAACATAATTCAAAGTTCAAAGAGTCTAGTTTTTCGTTTAATTCACCTAAATTTGTAAAAACGAATAAGTTAACTGAACTCGTTCACACTTAACTCATTAACAGAACTTATTCACACAAATCTATTGTGTTGGCATTCTTTACAGCATAGGTGTTAAACTGGATTCCTGGAGGGCTGCAGCTCCACACAGTTTAGCTCCACCCTAATCAAACACAGTTAATCCAACTAATAGTCTACTAGACTATTAAGAAGGCGTGAGCTGGAGATGGTTGGAGCTTAATGTGCAGAGCCGCGGCCCACCAGGAATCCAGTTTAAGACCTATGCTGTAAAGAATTTCAACACAATAGATTTTGAGATCATTTGAGTTTGAGATCATTACTTTACAGTGCACTTGCTGTATGAATAATTTATTATATATGATGTTTCCATCACATGACCTTCATCTTTTGCAGATTTGCACATGGTGATTTTCTTATGCACCATTCAATGCTTCAGGTGTGGCGAGTTTACTTGATTGAATTTCAAAAGGAAAATCCTAACTTAGGGTGACATCATCAAATTGCTGAATCTTCAGCAGCAGTGACTTTTTTATTTGTGAATTGTGTCTTATAGGGACTGTTTCAGCATAGAAAACAATTCTGGTTCTTAATGGTGTATATGCACACAGACAATAATTTCAGTCAGCCAGCCCCAGCCAGGGCTTCCGGTTAATTGTTATCCCATACAAAATCACTGCTTTTCAGATCTGATTTCTTTAAAAAACAGCAATCTTCACTGCCTGGCTGATATAAAGTGGGTATCAGACCAAAACAAAAAGCATTAGCCTGTTGCTAATGATGGCGCCTGTCTTTCATCCTTTTTATGCTTTATCAACCAAATGGGTGCTTAAGTCTATTTAACTGATTATATTGTAATTATGATACAACATCGATGCTGTAAAAGGAAGCTTGTAAATTAAAAATGGTCACATTAAACTTTCACTGGAAGTTTATCACTGGCTGAAAAACACTAGCTGTGCATAAGGCCCATTGCGTGTTATTACAAATTATTATTATTATTATTAAAATAACACATGAATACTTTCAGAAAATAATTTAAAATTAGAGAATTTAATTATTCCTTTTGCACAAAAATATACTAATATATTAAATATAATATGAAAACTTATATTATTCAATTATTATTATAACAGATCTGCAAATACAGTTTGTACATACAGTATAGTTTGGGTACTGGTAAGATTAATACAGTCTTTAAAATGGGAAAATAGTAATATAACAGTAAAGTTTTGAAATGTAAGATACCATTTAAAATAACACTTTTCTTTTTAAAAATATAAAAAATGCAAGAATTTATAAGCACAATGCTAAAGCCATTAATTAGATGCAGAGATGGGTCAATCATGGTGGGCAGGTCAATCCGTGCTTTTGAAAATACTATTTGTTAGGTCAGTCGATCGGTCAGTCAGTCAGTCAGTCAGTCAGTCAGTCAGTTAACAGCGGCCTCTGGTAGATTCGCCTAAACAAAAACTGCACAAAAAAAAAAAAAAAAAAACGTAGCTCCTGGGACATATTTGGCACTCTCTAGAAATGTATATAGAGGTTCGTTTTCAGAAAGAGCCTTTTGTTTTGTAAGTAATAAAGGTATGTAAAATAAGATAACTTTTTTTCTAAATATATAATAACAGCAGGAAAGGCAATGCTGGAAAGTTTCTACTGTATTAATCATCTTTGTTTTTTGTTTTTAATTCAGAATATTTTTACCTGATTTATATTACATTACTCTGGAATATAGGGAAGTAAAAAGTAATTATTTTCTAGGACATACTTTAAATTTCAAAAACTGAAGCAATAAATTCTAAATATGACCAAAAAATTAGCAACGTCTAAACCACTTTGGTTTAATTGAACATGATTTCATTGTATTATTTATATGTTGTTTTTACATATTATATTGATTGTTTTTATATTATAGTATTAACGCTGATGGGTCATACTGTTGAATACTGAGAATTGTTTGTTTTATTTTTCTATGTAATATCAGTGCAACAGTTCATATTTATAATTTAACTCAAGATGTAATTTCCTTAATCAATGAACTGTTTTTCTATCAGATGCAAGGTTGGCAAGCATATTAACCTTAATGTGATTTGAAATTTCCTGGAAGAATATATAAATATAAATAAATAAAGTATATATTATTTATATTCACACAGTACCAGCTATAGAGGGAAAAAATCTATTTTTCTTGCCGAGGGTGTGAAGTGTGTGTGAAGTGCACACTCAGCCAGAAATAGACAGATTTAAGCAATATCCTTTCAAAAGGCCACAATGCAGATGGACTTTTTCATCTGATCTTTAATAGAACCACAAAAGTATTCACACGTTAAAGGAGAAACATAGATCTTCATAATCTACCGTAAACAGTCTAACTTTACGCTGTTAGGCAAAGTGAATGCACAACAAAGCAAATGCCATGTTGTGTTGTTTTTTCTTCAATAAATTATACACATAAGGCTTAGGGTACGTCAAACTCACATTTCTAACGGAAGCGCAGAACTAATTGCACATGCAAGAGAAGACACTTTTACAGTTATGCATAACACCGAGATAGAGTCCACTAAGGAGAACAGCAGAAATGATAAAAATGCATATTTACTGTACTCTACACTAACATTGGCACCCTTGCTATATATGAGTAAAGAAGGCTGTGACAAAAATGTCTGGAATGGATACTGTTTAAACTTTTGCTCAATATATTAACAAAAAAAAAACCTGTCTTATTAACAACATTTTAAGTTTTATTAAAAACAAAATATCTTTGTTAAATGTGCCTGCCACCATATTAATATATATGAATTAATGAGGAAAATATTTTTGAAATATCTTCCCATAAGTATTCATTTATTTTTTAGTACAACTGGGTTGACCAAAAACCAGACATTGTTCATCACAACCCAGCAGGTACAGGACGTCAACATGATGTCAGACTGATGCTGTACCCCAATGTCGTGGGAACATTGCATTTTGGCCGAAAATTAATTTTTGGTTGACGTCAAAACCGAAATGTCAATGTCCAACAGTGGATAAATGTTGAATTTTGTTTTTTTTTCAATGTAACCTAAAAACAAACCCAAAAACACCATCTAATGATGTTACAGCTTGACATTGTGTGGTCGTTACCACTATGACGTCAGGCAGATGTTGGATTTTGGCTGAATAAATGTCAGTATTTGACATCAATATGGTTTGATATTTTGGCTCAACGTCAGATTTTGGTAACTTTTGTTTTCCTCCTGCTGGGAATAGGTAAAGCCAAGAAAAAACGTAGCTGTAACAAAAGTGTGTTTAGCTTCGCAAAATTAGAGGTGGCTTTAAGAAAATACCAAACGGCCGCTTTCAAAGCATTGCTTCATAAAGCTTTGAATCTCTACAAATCTTTTGTTTTGAATCAAAATCAAATAATTTCAGTAACAGGGTTTCTTTACATCATTGTTTTAAAACAATTAAAAAATTCAATGGCTCTCCAAGTGGGGGTGGGGGTGGGGAGAGGTTAGATGGGGGTCTGTGTAATACCATAAAATCCACATGAATCAGGCAGATTTACTAAAATCACCCCCAGTAGCGAATCACTCAACAGGTTTCATAGTATTTACCTGACCTCAAATCTGTTTTATGAGTTTGTATATGTTTTAATGAGATCTGTTAAATGAAAAAGAACAATACTGGTTGGTAGTCTCTTGTTCAGTTTAGCAGAGCCTACAATGGAAAAACCTTGTCTTAACCTTGAAAATTGATCAATAGACACTAAATATCAAATGATATTAGATGACAAGCTAACTGCGTTTGATAGCTTGGTTTCAATTTTACATTTGTAGTGTTTTGCCTGCATTTTTGTTGCATTTATACTTGGAATGCACCAATTTTTGGATGCAAAAAATTGTCAGCTGAAAAGGGCATTTTTCCGTTTTCAGTCGAAAGAGATAAAAGGACAAAAATATGCACCATAGTCATTGTTTACAATAGCTCAAAATTCTGCACTTTAGATCTTCCGTTCATGATGCCATACAGTTATCTATGCATGAAATTGCACATGCTGAAAATCAAAGTCTGCTCAAATTACAAACATTTCTACTTAGTAATTATACAGTACCTGCTGTAGTCATGATTGCACTATTAAAATAACGCCTCTCGAATCCTTTACTGTTAATTAAGTTGTGGTTATTTTGCTTGCTTGTTTACTTGAAGTCAGTGATCTCATCTACAATCTTATGAAGTCTAACAAAATTATGATATTTATAAAAGTAATTTATTCTAATACCTAATAATATACATTGCTAATTTAATTGTTTTGAACAGCAGGTGTTTTGACTAGCATGTGACATTTCGAATGCTCTGAAACAGGGAATAATTTTGCGAAACAATGGGTCCTATCATTTAAAGCGTTGAAAATCTTCGTTTCCCCATCACTATTGTCAACATGATGGTTCCAGTGAAAATAAAAGTTCCCAGAATCAAAATTAAAACCCAACATGACCAAAATCACCACAAATCATTTGAGAGTGTTTGAAGAAAAAGGCTTCTAAAACAAGTCAAGCATCTTTGTTCTTTCTGTTAATATTTCGAACAAATCTTTGCTCATATTTGCCAAGGGTGCCAATGTTAGTGGAGGGAACTGTAAATGGAGAACAATTACGTGCAACGATTCCCAGAGCTTAGCTGCTGCGAGGAAGTCTGAAAAAGTAAACAAATTCCAGTTTCAACAAATCTACGAACAAATGTTTTCAGCAAGCGCAGCAAACACAAGCTGAATTGAATGAACATCACAGAAAGCGTCCATCCTGACCAACTCACCGCATTCCTCCAAAAGTTCCTGCTTCACCCAAGAGGCCACTTTTTTTTTTTACTTCAAACAAGTGCAGTTCTGTTGAACTTCTGAAAAGTCGGAAGACAGATCAAGTCTGTCCATTGTTTTCATCAAGGTGCAGAATAAAAAGAGATCAACGTATGATGGGAAACTCCTAAAATGTCAGAAAAACAGACATAAACACATTGAAAACTCCAGACTCCAATGTGAATTCTCAAGCCATCAACGAGCTTTTTGAGAGTCATTGGGACGGTTTTATATTGATGCCTATTTCAACATCTTCTGTACTGTATGTTGACAACCATTGACAATGAATGTGGAGGCATTTTCTACGATGCACATGCAGTTTGTTTTTTTTTTTTTGCTGCTTTGTATGGGTTGTTGTTGTCGTTTTTGGGATTCGGTCTAGGCGGTGAATTCTGGAGAGTCCAAGGTTGGATGATCGCTAGTTCCTGGATCTGACAAACCCAAAGATCTCGTCACTGGGTGCGTCCATGATGTTGTTTGAGTTACATGGCTGGAGGAGAAAACAGACAAGAAATAGTTATAATAAATAAATAATTATTAATAGTGTATAAAAATATAATAATAGAATAAAAAGAATAGAATAGAATAAAAAGTCTCTTATGCTCATTAAGACCACTCACATTTTATGCAAACAAAAAAGTAATTCTGTGAAACAGTATGTATGCTAATTAAAATAAAACTTTGAAATGTAACTTTTTAGGTATTTTATGCAAGCCCATATTTGTTTATATGAGTTTGATGTGAATAACCCCTTCCCAAAATAACACACAGTAGAAGTCAGAATTATTAGCCCCCTTTGATTTTTTTCTTTTACAAATATTTCCCAAATGATGTTTAACAGAACAAGGACATTTTCACAGTATGCCTGATAATGTTTTTTCTTCATGAGAAAGTCTTATTTGTTTTATTTTAGATAGAATAAAAGCAGTTTTAAATTTTTAAAACACCTTTTTTAAGGAAAAAATTATTCGCCCATTTACGCTATATATTTTAGATAGTTTACAGAACAAACCATCATTATCCAATGAATTGCCAAATTACCCTATCCTGCCTAGTTAACCTAGTTAAGCATTTAACATTTTAAGTGTAGATGGAAGTGGAAATAGTAGAATAGAAGTGTCTTGAAAAATATCTAGTAAAATATTTTTTACTGTTATCATCGCAAAGATGAAATAAATCAGCTATTAGAAATGAGTTATTAAAACTATTATGTTTAGAAATGTGCTAAAAAAATCACTCTGTTAAACAGAAATTGGGAAAAAAAATAAACCAGGGGCTAATAATTCGGGGGGCTAATAAATCCATATTCAACTGTATATGAAAAGACTGAATACACAAAATAATGATACGTTCAGTCAAAATGATCAATAAAATAATATTATCCTTTACTATTACTTTAATCTTATACTACAGGGCTATAGTACTATAATAACCTTAGTATAAGTAAAAAAAAAAAAAAAAGGCCATGGTCCATTGAATTATTAGCAAGGTAAAAAAAAATCAATACCCCTTTTATCAATATATTTTCTTTTCTACATACAGCATAAACTGGACCAGTGCTTATGATTTTGTAGGTTTCTGAAAGCCCCTTTTGATCACCAGGTTAGCATTGATTTAACACAGTACAAACCGTTATATAGTAAAATAGATATATATTATTACAAAATAACACTTCTTATTTTAAAATCTAATTTAGTCATTTGATTCAAAGCTGACCTTTCAGTATCTTAGTTCAATCTTATCTTTAGAAACTGATCTGAAATGCTGAATTATAACTAATCATGTTATTAATTTCTATAAAAATATGAATTAAAACAACTTATATGATTTTAAGTTGTTTAATTTAAATGAAATTACAACAAGTAAATAAATATATATAATACAGTGCTTTCAATATGTTTAAAATATACTATGATGAAATATACAATGATGTGTTTTTTATCACATATAATATGTGATGAAACACATCATTTAAACACATCACATAAACAGTTAACTACTTGCGAAAAACAAAACATAATTCATTTTTAACAATAATTGTATTTATTATGACACTTATACACTTTTTTCTTTTTGATTGGTTAAAGTAAAAAAAAACTGTAGAAATAAAAAAGAAATCCATTATTTCTCAAACTTTTATACTATTGAGGAGCCATGTGCACCCACTGACAGGTAAAATCTCTCTCTCTGTCAAGTTCAAAACAAACTTGAAAAAAGCATTTTAGATCTGTACATTTGAAGTCAAAATTATTAGCCTCCCTTTGATTTGATTTTTAAAAATATTTCTCAAATGATGTTTAACAGAGCAAGGAAATTTTCACAGTATGTCTGATAAAAAAATTTTATAGAATAAAAGCGGTTTTTAATAATAAAAAAACATTTTAAAGTTTTATACATTAAACATTTTAAGGTTAATACCCCAAAAAATTATAATAATTACAATGTGTAGATTATTTTAATAAGGCAAATGCACTGATTATCCTATTCTAATGGTTTACATATAGGATATTTTGCAGCCAGTATAGACCCGTTTTTTCGTCCTTTACGAATACATAGTAAAGTTTTCTGAGTCGTTTAGATTCAAGAATGAATTATTGAATGTTTCACTCGCTCTCGCGACTGTGCGTGTGCTGTCAGCTGTGAAGCCAAGAAAAAGTAAGCTTAAATAAAAAAGATAATTCAAAATTGCATACGATTAACCACAGCTTTTAGAAGCAAAAGTCAAATTCCAGTTTTACAGTAGAAACCCTGGCCAGACAAAGGAGTGTATCTGTGGGTCTGCAGAGCGTGGGAGTGCACACACAATCAAACAGGTAAATGAAAGAACATTTTTCAGTACTTAATGGATCGTGGATGTTTGGTTATATTAGGCAGATAAAAAATTGTGTAAAAATTGTGTAAATATACACAAAATATTAACAGTTTATGGTGTTTTCCCAGGATTCTTTAATGAATAAGCTTAAAAGATCAGCATTAATTGTTTTTTGCAACAATTTAGAAAGAATTTTCCTCAAATAAATGCATTATTGTGGAATAAAAGAGCACATTTGTTTAAAGCACAACCTTCCCGAGCTCAAACGGTTGTACAGTGAATAAAGTACATCTACAAGCATGCACGGGCCATTTGTGGTGTTGAGATGTGGGTGTAATAGAGAATGCTGGTCTCCTGGGTGTGGTGTTGCGTGCCACTTCACAAACTCGCAAAAGAGTGATGGATGTCTGTGATTTAAACTGAGCTGTTTTGAAAGTTATGCAAATCAAAGAGCAAGCTCATGGGACAGAAAGGTTTGTATGCTTTCTATAGAGATGAAGGGGGTACATATAGTACATGTCAGGAACAATACAAGGCCTCAATTAGTTTTGAAGCACCATATTTAGACTACAGCATTATCTGCCATAGAGTGAATTGGGTTTTTGTTGATTTTAGAAGCTTGGGTTAGTTTAACGTGCGAATTAAACAGAAAAACTGCACCTCTTGAAACAAGATAAAACTATTAGATTTAGTACATACATACGTTAAATACATGACAGAGCTCTTTTAAGCAAATGTTATTGTAAGGAAAATAATTAAACCATTATGGTAAACAGAGGTAAAATGATCTTTTTAAATAAAAACTTAAAGGTTTTATTGAGATGGATTGTTGGTGAGACCCCGGATTAATAAAGGGACTATGCCGAAAAGAAAATGAATAAATGGATTGTTGCTGACTGTATGTATGTGTGTTGGCCAGATTGGGTGGCAATACAAAAGAAACAAAGGAAAATTAAGACCTGTTAAAAAAAAAGATTGAAGACCTACAACACAATATTTCAGTAAATTTAAGTGTTTTTAAGGTGCAAAATTTTGATTTTGAGATTTAAGACTTTTTAAGGCCCCGCGGACACCCTGTTAACCCTTAAAAAAAAAAAATATATATATAAAAAAAAAAAAAAAAAAAAAATATATATATATATATATATATATATATTTTTTTTTTTTAAAGAATTTTTACAATAATCCAAAACAAGATAAATTCTCTAAATTATTTTAAAGATCATTACTGAAAATGTGGCCACTTTATATATATAATTGATAGAAATTCTCTTTACATTTCAATAGTCATGATTAAAGTAAATAATCTAAATGTGTTTATATGATAGTTTTATAATCTGGGTAAGACATAAAAAAAATGTTCAATTAAAAATTGTTGGGCCGATAATTCCCATGATTCTGATAAGTAGCACAAATTGACTGTCAACAAATGTAGATTTGTACAACTGTGCACCACTATTCACGCAGATCCGCGATTTCGCATGCAGGTGGGCTGTGGTCAAGTGGACACGAGAGAAATCTTGAATCAATATTGGAGTTACTTTTGCATGCTGGAGAAAGGATGAGGTAATGTTATGTTTCACGTTAGGTTTCATAAACTACTGAGAGAAGCACGTAATATGATTGAGCACGACTGGATTCTCATCCAAAATCAGTAATAACGCAATCAGATTGATCCGAGCTTACAATAAGTAGACAGATTTTACCCTACTGCCTTATCATCGTTTTGGAAGAATCCCCCCTCCACCCCATCTCCCCCTTTTCCTCCATTTTTCAAGGGGAGCTCTCCAGACCTACCTGATCTCGGACCCCCTTTATATGGGAGGGAGGGTCTGGGCACTGTGCCTTGGGCTCAGTTATGTCTGAGCTCAGAGTTTTCTCCCAGGACAGCATGCCAAACCTGCTATTAATGCCAAGGATATCTAAGTGTAAACTCTCGAAAACTATTTTAGTCACGCAAAGCTTATAAAGATTTAGTTGTTTTACAAATGGGTTATATACACAGAAGTGTTGTTCAGCCACTGAAATCTTCTGGTGAAAGATCGATGTGACTATTATCAGTTTCAAAAGGAACCTTTTACAGCATTGATAATGTAAATTTTCATTTACTTTAACAATAAAACAAAAGTAGATAGCGCTGTACCATCTACCCTGCTTTACTGAGGTGAAGTTGGTTTCATATTCATATTGGTTCATTTTTGATCAGTGACATCCGGTGACGTGCTCCCTATATTGTTTACAGTGCTCCCCTCAATATTTGATCTGAAATAGTATGTAAGTACCTCTTAGTAATAAGTTTAATTCCTGCACACCACCAGCTAACTACTAAGCATGCAGTAGTCGCTTTAGGATAAAGTGCATGAGAGAGTGAGTCCAGCGATCCTTGCATGCATGAAATATTGCACATTATGACAAGTTTTGCTTGCTACACAATTGAAAACTTGCTAGATATAATACAGTTTTTCGTTGGGAATTGTAGTATTATAAAGTACCATAAAGTTTTCTAACTGGCGAAAGGCATGATCTAGAGGGTCTTTGCCATCTTTAATGTGCGCGTTTGTGTGATTTCAGAAGGCATGGCTTTGGACGGCAGCAAAGGATTGTGTTTCAAACATATTATGCTAACCGGTTTGCGTTTAGGCAGATCACCTACTGCACCTTTAATATCTGTCAGTTGATTCTAGTAAAATGTTGCTCAAATTAAGATAAAACTAATTTAGCAAGACCAATCTTCTCAAATTAATGTTTGTTATTATAAAAAAATCATAAAAAATAGAATAGATTTTTAAAAATCCCCCATAGATTTCAGTTTTTAGTGTGTGAGTACTCATTGTGCCTTCTAAAACATGCACACTTTACTTTCATGTTTTGAGTTTTCTTAAAAAAGGGTAAAGTCTTTGTAAATCAGTTTGAAGTCTTACTTTATGTAGTATTTCACTCCATCTGAAGTGTATGCCTCATCCCATCCAAAAGGTAAACCTGAGAAAGAATACAAATGACAGAAGATCAGATATGTACAGCTATATGAGAGCAGCAAACAAGAGACTGGAAATCAAAATTAAAAAATAGCATTTGTTGCAACATTTTCCACTGATCCTCCCCAGCGACTGTGAGATTTTGTTGGCAACTGCATGAAATTGGGTTAAATATGAATATGCAAAATGTCCCAGCATATCTGCATAATATGAAAAGGTATTACATAAGAAAATAGGGAATGCATGCGGTGAAAGTGTGACAAGCATCAAACAGATCTGTCTCCTCCTGGATTTGGATTTTTGTTTTAAAATACATTTTCCCAAATTCTCTTTTAAGGCAAAACACGGCAGGTGAAATAGGGCAAATAAATAACTAATAGTTATAAACATACTTCCCCAGCTTAAAGTAAAAAAAAGGCTTATTTTACTTCGTTTAAAAATTATCAAATGTTTACATATGCAAATAAGGCACTGCATCATTAAATATGTGCTAATTTGCATAAATACCTAGCACATAAATCTGCATTGGAGGAAGTCAGGTTTAAAAGTTTTCTTTTTTTTCCCCTAAGATAATGAAGTGAAAGTTTAGAATTAATTTTTAAGAATTATTTTGGCTTATTGTATTGCTCCTTAATTTAGAAAATACTGCAAACAGACAGAAAAATCACAGTTATTAGTAAAATAAAATAAACGGTTGTATATAAACAAACACATTATGCATGAACACATTCATCTGTTAAAATCTTCACAAAATTACTAGAATTAGTATATTTTCAAAAAATAAAATTACTTACTACTACTATAAAATGAAAAAAACTACACTACCTGACAAAAGTCTTGTTGCCTATCCAAGTTCTAGGAAAAACAAATAACTACTTAACTTCCAGGTGATCATTTGTTATGAGAAGTGGTTTATATGAAAGGCAAAGGCCTCTAGATTATGCTTATTTTACCGAAATAAAATATGATCATGCCTTGATTTTTAATGACCTAATTAGATCAGTAAGGTCTGATGTTGCTTAGACAAAAGTCTTGTCACTTAACACAAATAATGTAGAGTATAGAATATAAAGTCATGCTGCAGTGGAAAAAAAAATTAATGTTGTGTATGAATCCCATGAGCTTGCATGACTGCATCCAAACATCTCTGCATGACTCGAATAACTGATTAATAAAGTCATCTGGAATGGCAAAGAAGCTTTCTTGCAGGGTTCCCAGAGTTCATCAAGATTCCTTGGACTCATCTACAACGCCTCCTGCATCTTACCCAAGACTCACTCAGTAATGTTCATGTGTGGTAACTTGGCTGGCCAATCCTGGATCAACTTGACTTTTGCTTTCAGGAACTTTGATGTGAGGGCTGAAGAATGAGAAGGAGCGCTATCCTTCTGAAGAATTTGCCCTCTCCTGTGGTTTGTAATGTGATGCGCAGCACAAATGTGTTGATACCTCCGACTGTTGATGTTGCCATCCACTCCGCAGATCTCTTGCACGCCCCATACTGAATGTAACCCAAACCATGACTTTTTTTTTTTTTCACCAAACTTGACTAATTTCTATGAGAATTTTGGGTCCATGTGGGTTCCAATAGGTCTTCTGCAGTATTTGTGATGATTGGGAAGAAGTTTAATAGAGGATTCATCTAAAAAATCAACCTTCTGCCATTTTTCCAATGAATCAACTAGAAGTAGTCAAGTTATTATTTTTTGCTCTTACAACTGGGAGTCACGACAAGACTTTCGTCGGGTAGTACAGGTATATAGAATTTACTTCAAAAATGTGCTCAAGAAGAATTTTGCTGCTTGTTCAAACTACTTATGTAGAATGAGCTGAATCAACACACTTCTTAAGTTTTTGTAGACAATTGTTTTATGTTTAATCTACATTAATTTGTAGAAAAAAATAAGTTAACTTAATAGATTTGTGTTGGGACAGCATGAAGAAGTTTTGTAAAACCCAGCATTTTTTTTACAGTGCATGCAATGTAATTGAAACCTACACACACATTGATAAAGTGTAACTCTATGTTTTCTTTACATCAGACTGAAAAAAACACTTTGAAGCCAAAATTTCAAACTTGACAGGTGCATAAATGTATTTATTTTTTGTCTGTAGAGTCTCACTTTTATGCACAGCTTTAGAAATTCCTGGACTTAAAAAATGTAAGCAGACACTATTGATGGCAGAATATGAGAGCAGTCTCATTAATACCTGCCTCCATACTGGGTAACAAATCCCTGACTGAATTTGATCTGGACACTCCCTCAGTATACAGTATACATGCAGGAATAACTATTCACAGTAAGTCTGCTGGCAAACACACTGTCCTGACGTGACTTCAAAAGCAGCTTCTCATAAGAAACATGATCTTATTATTAAAGGAAACGAATACGCATATTATCCTGTTGTCTAGATTTCATGCAAAAGCAACGTTTTTGACAGGAAAGGCCAAAGAATAAGTGATGCAGTCTCTGTTTTCTACAAACAAATCTCTCTGGCTAGATACACTACAGTGCGTTGCAATTGGGTGATTTAATGATTACATTTGTTAAAGGATTAAAATGAATTTAAGAGAATAAATACCTAAACTCAAATATTATCTATTAATAAGCAGCAAATTAGTAGTTTAGTGTGCTAAAAGTATTTTTAATGGTTTATTAATAGCAAAACATGTGCCTTAAAATAAAAAAATAATGTGTTTTTATTGCCATTGATGCGTTTGTTAAGAACTTTGGTCACACTTACATTTAATGTACAATTATTGCTATTAATGGAACATGAACAAACCATTAACCAAGGGTTTTAGCTAAATAAACTAATAATTAGCTGCTTATTAATAGTTAATAGGATGGTGGTAATAGGGTGATTCATATTTCAGCTACTACGCCCCCACTGCTGGAATCAGCTCTCAGAAATGATCAGACGTTTTATTATTATATTCAACAAAATCTTCAGTCTTTTGTGAAACAATACCCCACAACAAACATATCAAGGACATTGTTGTCAATACATTTGCATGGATGCATACCATAGAGCAGTCTGCATCCACAGAAATGGAAATAACCAGGTTATCATAATAAAATGCATTTAAAAATTGGTTTATCATACCTAAATATTGGCTGTCAGCAGCCTTGAGAAAACTAAGAGGAGATTTCAAAGCTTATTTCATAAAAGTTTCCCAGAATATAAAAATAACAATGTTTTCTTAAGATTGCAAGGTTATCTCTAATTAAAAATGACCACCGATTCAATTGAGTGTAGAAATTCTGCAGCTTATGATTTCTGTGTGTGCGTTGAGATTTGTGACGTGTCTGAAGTGATCTCAGACCATTACTGCCTAGGCCCTGGGACTAAGTAACAGAGTAGAGCTCATCACATGCTTCTTTAATTCAATCAAGCCTTTGTTTTCCGAAACAAGAGTGAATGATTTCACTAGATCAGTACTATGATACTGAAGAGACAATTTAAGCTGCCTCAAATTACACCTTGTTAAATCAGATATAATTGAGATGAACTATACACTACCTGACAAAAGTCTTGTCGCCTATCCATGAACAACAAATAATAACTTGACTATAGTTGGTCCTTGCTTTCCCCCATTTGCCCTCTCCTGTGGTTTGTAATGTAACAGGCAGCACAAATGTCTTGATACCTCAGGCTGTTGATGTTGTCATCCACTCAGCGGATCTCTTGCATGTCCACATACTGAATGTATCCCCAAACCAGGATTTTTCTGTCACCAAACTTGACAGATTTTCATGAAAATTTTGGTTCCGATAGGTCTTTTGCAGTATTTGTGATGATCTGTTGCAGTTCAAAAGATGATTCATCAGAAAAATCCACCTTCTGCCACTTTTCCAAATAATCAACTAGAAGTCAAATTTGTTGCTCTTAAAACTGGGATCAACGCCAAGACTTTTGTCAGGTAGGGTAGAGAAAACCCTCCAGAAACTGATTTGCTGCCCATCTCTCTTGAAAGCACAATATAAAAGATTTGTCAACTACTCTGTCAAGTTCTTCCAAAGATCACCCACTCAGTAAAATCTCCAACATTACAAAATGCCTTATGTTCTGCAAAGAAAATGTAGTATATACGGGTTTGGAACAACAATTGGGTGAATAAAAAATTCCCACCAAGAACAATAAATACACTATCACTATCAAAATTATCATCCACACCAATACATACGCTTTGTTGTGTGCAGTACGTACAGTTTTGTCATCTGTCAATTTAAATGCCAGAGTTCAGGAAAGCAGGATGGATACTGATAGGCTGTCAATGTTTTCATTGTTCATCCTCTAAAATAAAAAAATGGACATCATAGCTTTGGTATGTACTCCGCTATTCTTTTTTGTTAAACTTTTTTTTATTTTTTATTATGCACTTTTTACGTAATTGTGACAGTACATTTTTTGAGCCAAGCTATAAATGTCACTTTTTGGACAGAAACACAACACTTCTTACATTTGTCACTTTAAATGCAAATGAGTTACTTTACATAAGGGTGAGGGGTGGGGCCTAATGGTAACGTGTGTCTCTAATACACTTGCAACTTCAAACAAAAAAACTGCACGTGCTATAAAGTCTGATCAGTTTAAACTCCTAATGAACTTGTGTGTGTGTGTGTTTGTTGTTGTTGTTAAAATGCATAATGTTAGTCATGTCAGTGGAAGAAAAAGCATGTTTTGCAGTATATAATGAAACTTGGAGATAATGACAAACTACTATCGCAACACAACTGGGCCTCATACCCTTGAGCAAGAGTTAATTAAAGTTGGGTTATTATGACATGTATGTTCCCAAAAGAAAACTTGGGACTACAAATGAGGTGTTTGAGGAGTTCAGAAACAGTCCATACAGACAGAAAATAAATGCATAATTACAGTGGTATGGATGTAAAGTTTGCAATAACATCTCAAAACACAAATTCACATAGATATTTTATGTTAGAATTATACTGAAACTTCTAGTGATATTTTCCAAAACAACTAACCACAGTTATG